ATGGAGGGGCATGATGAAGAGAACGCTAGCCTGGAAAAGCACACTAGGTAATAACTTTGTCCACTTGACGTTTCGGATCGCTCCAAAATAGCCATCGTCGAGCAACGACAGAGAAACGGACTGCCTTTAATCTCCTACTGACTTGGCTGTTCAAGTATCTTTCATGAATCCTGACATGTACATCGCCGTTAACGGTGATTAACGTGAACATGAATTGAAAGCTTCAATTTTCTGAATCGAACCCCGGAACCTTCTATAGTAAACAAATTGGCAAAATTAAAGTTGGTCGCCAACTTTAGATCCCTTAACCTCAGGATTCTGTCCTGCGCGACCGATTTTGCTATGGATTATGGGGTGAGTTATATCAAGGGAAAGAATGAATAAAAAATGCAAGCGAATCAAAGCAAAAAGTGATAGGAATAGTTATTTAACTAACATAATATTTTACGCGCGATAATTAAAACGATAAATCATTCAAGATGAAGCAAGAATTGCGCAAAGGTAATCATGAATTGGATGCAGTCTTATGTCGACCATATATCCAAACCATAAACGATAGGATTTCCTTCATGTTTTAAAAATCTCACAAGGCTTCTAGTGAATTTGGACAGATATTGTAGGATAATCTGTGCAAATTCATTAACAGCTATTGTGAGTTTTAAAAAAGCAGCCGTAAGTCGATTAAATAATAATGTTACATTTGAAATTAAATTAAAATTAAACTAAAAAAATCAACTAAAGAACTAAAAATCTATAACTTATAAAGTTCGCAGTAGCCGCAAGATGCTATATATTCGTGTTTGGCAGCTTTTCAGGCTGAGAATAGTTTACGAGCAAGTCAGATTGGAAATGCGCCCTATCAACCAGTCCGCCATCCAAAGCCGTCAAGTAACTGATGTCCGGTTTTGGCGCAAGTGATTGGAGCAGCGCGATCCTGTGCCTTGGCGTGTCGCCACTTTTCGCACGTGTGCTAATTAAGGTGGATACATAGAGTCTGCACAGCCAGCTTAACCCGCGTCGTGACCTTATCACAGTTACTATGTAAAACCCCTGCTGCTGCGATTTCTCCATTATCTCAAAAAATGCACTCTTCATCGAAATGTGGTGTCCTTAACTTTTGGTTTTGGTCAAATCGAACGGCACTGCAGGGCTTTTGTCAGCCAGTTTGCTGACGCTTTTCCCAAATTGTTCCTATTGGGGTAAAAACATGAGTCCGTGTCACGCTATGAATGACGCCACGGCAAACACCTGAGAGTAACTGGAGTTTTTGTACAACAGTTCAGCTTTAAACGCAGCAGCAAGTGCA